CCCCCGGCCTCCCGGCTTCCCTGGGGCCCATCTCCCCCGGCCTCCCGGCTTCCCAGGGGCCCGTCTCCCTGGCCTCCTGGCCTCCCCAGAGACCCATCTTCCCTGGCCTCCTGCCTTCCACAGGGGCCCGTTTCCCCCGGCCTCTCGTGCCCCGGCAGCAGGGGGAGCTGGGCCTGGCTCTGATCCGGGACAGGGCCCAGCACCGGCTGCTCGGGAGGAAGTGCTGTGATGAGGATGTGACCTGGTTCCTGGGGTGATGCCTGGCACGATGGGCACCCAGTGGCGGTCCCCAGGCACAACACGATACCAACAACTAATAATAAATCCGCCTTCCCTATTGCCCGGGTCGGGGGGGTCCCCTCTGCGCCCCGCTGGCTGTGGGTGGGACCCCGGGGCCGCCCGCGGTGACGGGATTGTGTCTCTGGGTCTTTGCAGTGGCTGTCCAGGATCCCCGGTACCAGATAAACCAGACCGAGTCCCTGTCGGCGCCGGCCGGGGGCTCCGTCACCCTGCCCTGCGCCTTCACCTACCCCCGCGAGATCGAGCCGCTGGGGGACGTCCGGATTTACTGGAGACTGGGATTCCATGGCAAGTTTATCTACAATCACACCGAGGGGTTCACCCACCCGGATTACGGGGGCCGCATCGTCCTGGTCGGGGACCCGCGGGGGAGCCGAACGGCCTCCATCCGCATCGACCAGCTGCGGGAGTCGGACGCCAGCGAGTACGTCTGCCACGTCATGGTGCAGAAGAATGACGGCACATGGGAGCAATGGCGCCGTCACCCTGGGACCAACCTCACGGTGACAGGTGCCCCCATACCCTGGCTTCCCCCATGTCACCTGCTCCTATCCCCAGCTTCGCACCCTCCCGTGCCCTGGCGAATCCCCCACCCACCCGCAGCCCTGAGACCCTCTGTGCGTTCCCGGCTCCGAGTGCTGCACCCCGAACCCATGGCTGGAGCTCAGGGGCACCCCCACCAAGATCCCTTCCCATCCCCGACTGTGTCCTGGCCCCGTCCGCCCGGGCGTCCCCTCTTCTGGGTGGGTCCGTGGCCCCATCCCGCAGCAGCCAGGCATGTCGGTGAGTGAATGTGCGTGCCAGAATGAGTGTCAGTTGTGCATCAGGGAGTGTTCAAGGATGCCCATGCATGAACATGTTTGTGTAAATGAGAGTGTGGAAATGTGTCAGAGCCGCAGCGTTGGTGAGTGTGCAAGGATGTGTGCACGTGAATGTGAGTGTGCAAACATGCATGTTCCAAAATGAGCGTGTGTCTGCCTGTGCAGGGTTGTGGGTGTGAGTGTGGCTGAGGGTGTCTGGGTGTGGGAAGCACAAGCGTGTGAGCGTGTGTGCGAGCGCACGTGCGGCCTTGGCGCGGCGTCTCCAAGGGAAGGCGCGGTGTCCACAGACATGCTGCGCACGCTCACACACCTGGGGTGTGCACTGAACATGCGAGAGCCAGAGCGTGTGTATGAGTGTGTCCCCCTGGCTGTGCACACACGTGGGCGAGGGGCCACGCCTTGACCTAACGGCCCCCTTGATCTCGCTCTCCCAGCCCAAGCCTTGCCGACGAACGCCCCCAGCACGGCGCAGGCGACGATCCCAGCCACAGCCACGACGCAGCGGCCAGCCAGGCCGGGGGCAGCCCCGGTGATTGGGGGGCTGCTGGCGGGGGCCGTCCTGCTGGCCGGGATCATCGGGCTGGCTGTGTACGGAGCCCGGAAGAGAACAGGTACCGGCACCCCTGGGGGAGCGGCTGGGGGGGGGGGGGGGATGGACACGCGCCACCGGGGCATCCAGCCCCTCATCAGTCCGCCCCAAGGGAGCTGCCGGGTACCCGCGCAAGGCATTGTGGGAAATTCCCCGGGCGGCACAAGGATGGGAGCTGGGGGAGGAGCCAAATGCTGCACCAGGCCTGTCCGGCACATGTGTGTATCCTGCTGGGTGTGTGACACGGGCAGTAAAGTGTGATCCTAACCAGAATGCACTGCTCCCGCTGCGGCATCATGGGATTCAAAGAGTGACTGTCCGTCCATCCATCCTCACCTATCTATCTATCTATCTATCTCCATCCACCCCCGCTATCTATCTATCTATCTATCTATCTATCTATCTATCTATCTATCTATCTATCCCCATCCACCCCCACTATCTATCTATCTATCTATCCCCATCCACCCCCTCTATCTGTCTATCTATCTATCTATCTATCTATCTATCCCCATCCACCCCCGCTATCTATCTATCTATCTATCTATCTATCTATCTATCTATCTATCCCCATCCACCCCCTCTATCTATCTAATCTATCTATCTATCCCCATCCACCCCCTCTATCTATCTATCTATCTATCTATCTATCTATCTATCTATCTATCTATCCCCATCCACCCCCTCTATCTATCTATCTATCTATCTATCTATCTATCTATCTATCTATCTGCATCCACCCCATCTATCTATCTATCTATCTATCTATCTATCTATCTATCTATCCCCATCCACCCCCTCTATCTATCTATCTATCTACACCTCTACCCCGATATAATGTGACCCGATATAACACGAATTCGGATATAACGCGGTAAAGCAGTGCTCCGGGGGCGGGGCGGGGCTGCGCACTCCGGCAGATCAAAGCAAGTTTGATATAATGCGGTAAGATTTTTTGGCTCCCGAGGACAGCGTTATATCGGGGTAGATGTGTATCTATCTATCTATCTATCCCCATCCACTCTATCTATCTATCATAGACTCATAGACTCATAGACTTTAAGGTCAGAAGGGACCAATATGGTCATCTAGTCTGACCCCCTGCATGATGCAGGCCACAAAAGTTGACCCACCCAATTTCCCTTAACTCAGCTGTTGAAGTCTCCAGATCGTGATTTAAAGACTTCAAGTCGCAGAGAATCCTCCAGCTTGCGACCCCTGCCCTATGCTGCGGAGGAAGGCGAAAAACCTCCAGGGCCTCTGCCAATCTACCCTGGAGGAAAATTCCTTCCCGACCCCAAATATGGCGATCAGCAGAACCCCGAGCATACAGACAAGATTCTCTAGCCAGACCCTCATTTTACCAGCGATGGCCGTTATTGCCTAATTGATTAGAATCACGTAATCCCATCAAACCATTCCCTCCATAAACTTATCTAGCCTAATCTTGAAGCCAGAGAGGTCTTTCACCCCCACCGTTTCCCTCGGAAGGCTGTTCCAAAATTTCACCCCTCTGACGGTTAGAAACCTTCGTCTAATTTCAAGCCTAAATTTCCCCACGGCCAGTTTATATCCATTCGTTCTCGTGTCCACATTAGCACTGAGCTGAAATAATTCCTCTCCCTCCCTGGTATTTATCCCCTTGATATATTTAAAGAGAGCAATCATATCCCCCCTCAGCCTTCTTTTGGTTAGGCTAAACAAACCAAGCTCCTCGAGTCTCCTTTCATAGGAAAGGTTTTCCATTCCTCGGATCATCCTAGTTGCCCTTCTCTGTACCCGTTCCAGTTTCAGTTCATCCCTTTTAAACATAGGAGACCAGAACTGCACACAGTACTCCAAATGAGGTCTCACCAGCGCCTTGTATAACGGAAGCAGCACCTCCCTGTCCCTACTAGAAATACCTCGCCTTATGCATCCCAAGATCGCATTAGCTTTTTTCACAGCCACGTCGCATTGCCGACTCATAGTCATCCTGCGATCTATCTATCCCCATTCAGCCCATCTATCTATCTATCTATCTATCTATCTATCTATCCCCATCCACCCTATCTATCTATCTATCTATCTATCTATCTATCTATCTATCTATCCCCATTCACCCCATCTATCTATCTATCTATCTATCTATCTATCCCCATCCACCCTATCTATCTATCTATCTATCTATCTATCTATCCCCGTCCACCCCCT